TTCTCTTTACACTTAAGAATGCCTCTAATAACTTTCTCCTTTTTTTCGTTTCTTTGTTCAAATACAAAAATGTTTCCTCGAAAAAGCAAGATAAGCCTCGTTTCTTTTATACCGACAACAAGTTAGATATTAAAATGCAAAAGCTTTCGGAAAGCGCTTAGTTAAGGACCAATAGTCGCGCTCTTCACTATCTGGTTATATCCGTCGCTTGAAATGTAAAAGCGATTAAGCAAATAAAAATTTATAAACGCTTAGCGAGGTCTACCCTGCAACTAAGCAAGAAGTGAAAACTTCTTGTAAAGAGATAAGACACGGTCCAGTAGTGGTACTTCTTCTGATAAAGGGCTCAAATACTATTTCCATGGTTTTAAATACTATTTTCACGGAGGGGTGTAATTGCTTCGAAAAGAAGCTTAATATTATTTTCATGAATTAATATACATATCTCTGTCTCTCTCTCTCTCTCTCTCCGTTCACGAACGAAAGGTTTAGAACATAGTATAACATCTATAGAACTTTGTGTACACTGACCCCTACTTACTGCCTTGCTGGGTGTTTAAGATTCGAGCATAGCTCTCCTATACGCTTTCCTCATATTTATCGGCAACAAAGTTACTTGGAAAGATAATGTAGAAGCGTAGCGTGGTAGACAAAAAACACAAAGCACATGCTGTTATTCATATATGTAACACGTATAGAATTCTATAATAATTATGTGCGACATGCATATGCATATGTTTGTATGGATTGTGAGATAAACTATTTTTTTCCTTCTTATTTACGTATCGGGCAGATTACAATATCAAGCTATTAAATAACGGAAGAGTCTTCTTAATTCCTGCTTTTGAACGGAGAATAAATAAATGAATTGTTAAATGTATGATTGGATGAATGGATCATTGAACGAATGAATGAATGAATGAATGAATGAATGAATGAATGAATATGGTTCGATTTACAAAGATAAGATATTCGAAATAGTGAAAGTATGTACATATGGATGCGCGCACGAGATAAGACTCATTAATGAACGGTATATATATTAATGACATTAATTGTGAATAATATAACATCTTTTATATTTCAATTGTTGCTATACTTTGCTGCGGTTTATTTTATGGCCTTCTTTTTTTTTTAGCAAATAATTTCAATCGTCAATAAAAGTTTCTTTGTCAAGCTTACGATATATATATATATATATATATATTTGTCTTTACTGCGACATGATGGTGCAGCACTTTACCGATAGTTTAGTTTATGGATTAACTAGCTTCATCTCTTTAACTTTCCTTTTCGCTGACAAAAAATTTAACGATTAGTAATAAAAATAACTGAAGATAGCAATAAAATAAAACGAAGGTAATTAAAATTTTAACAGTAATTCATTAAATTATAGCATAACTGTAAACAATTTTTAATGAGTTGGTGATGTACTCCCTGCAGTTGTTTGAAAGATAGACGATTACATTTTAGTTTATTGCGAATATTCTAAGCTTAGGATAACAGCTAGCTGCGTCTCTTCGAAGAATATGATGATGAGACGAGCAGCAATGGCGAGTGCTTTTTACAAATCCTTTCGTTGATTTTTTTTTTGCTTCTGAATCGTGCACCCTTTAGTGGATTGCACAAGGTAGTAAAAAAGTGCATTAAAAGTGTACGGTTCACATGGCACTTTCTTGCAGTCATTTGAAGAAACGCTGCATTCTTGCACTCTTTAATAGCTTACAGTGCACAAGTGACAGTGGTTTCGTTCATCCTTTAGAGGATTTGAAGTCTGAGTTTGGAAGAAAGATTAAAAATCACAGGTAAGGGTAGATTCTTTGCACCCTTTAGAAGACCATAACTTAGAGGTAGCATTAGTTTCTTTCGCTTATGCGTTGTAATTTTCTAAGATGTCCATAAGTCCATCATTGATCTACAGCTAAAAAAAAACAGCCAACGGTATATTATTCGCACCCTTCACATTAGCTGCTTTCGCCTATGCATTGTAATATTCTAAGATGTCCATAAGTCCATTATTGATCTGCAGATATCAAGCTACATTGCGCGATGTACCTTAAATTTTCATTCACATTTTATGGAATCAAGATGCAAAGATGCGAGTGCTTTTCTCTTTTACGCAGTCCACAATAGGCGTAAAAAGACGAAAGGAGAGAAATTCTTAAAGACTTTTGATATCTTATGAATGAAATTTTATGAATGCTCAAGTTTGATTTTAAAGTCGATTCATAGAACTTTAAAGAGAAAGGCCATTGGGAACTAAGTCCGGTTCGAACGCGGATGTTCATCACGAATATCTTTCGCCTAGGGCGGAATTTATATGCACTCCTTTTGAAATTTTTTTGAAGCCTATTTGTTATTTCAAATTTTTTTTTCGTCATCTTCAAAGTAATATCCTTCAGATACTATATATTTATACTTTTCGCCAATCGAAATATTTCTAATACTCGGTATACCCGCGCTTCAACACTCAATCCTCCTCCAGGGCTTCTAAAAACAACGTATGGGAGGACTAGTCACTTTCCACCTTTTTAAGGTATTATAATATGGGGTAATATGTACTAAATGAAAAAAATCTAAAGTGTCATCGTGTTGAATGCGCTCACACGTTGGACGCGATCGGCTTCACAATGTTGTTTTTCATCAAGAGGTATCGTTTTAAATGTTGTACATCCGCTGAGTGGCCTAGTAGGCAAGAGTCTCGACAAGCAACTCAATGGTCGTGGGTTCAAATCTCAAGTCCGGTAGAGTTTTTAATAAAGCCGAAAGTCTTAGATGCTAGTGCTTTAAGACTTTATTCTTAGAATTTATTCTCTGGCTAAATTTATAATAATAATAAATTTTGTACAACATTTTAGCTTTCGACTTGCAACTGTCATTGCGTAGATGTTTGAGCAATCAAACCCAGGACGTTTTCGGATATGAATCGAGACACATTAACACTATACATTGAAATTTCGATAATTCGCTACAATAATTTTAAATTCGAAATTTTACATTTCCAACGAAAAGCCTCGCTATTATATGTAAGGGCTATTTTTGCCCAAAACCTGGTGCGGGGGGTAGCTCAGCGGGTCCAGGTTTCCTTTCACAAGAAATTTCTTCAAAGTATTCTTTTCTTAGCAAATTATATTTCAGAATTTCTTCTTTTACTTTGACAATTTCCCTTTTTTTATATCAAAGGTTAGTTCATTTTTCTTAATCTAAACACCTAGCACCACCATCGTGGTAACCGCATGCCCATTCCTTCGCTCACTTCGCGGCCAACTCCCCTCTCAGTTACTTTGGTCTAACTTGCAAACTAAACTTCGGCTTAAGCTAACTATTCTAATTTCTCTTTACTTAATTTCCCTTTACTGCAATTCTAACTCTCTTAGCTTAATTTACTCCAGTGCTCCCCTCAGAGACGGAGAACCTGTGAGGCCAAAACGAGGAATGACTTTGGTTCCTCACAACATATTCCGAAAACCTAAAAGGATCGGTCAAAGGGCACGTTCAGCGCAACGGGTGACAAATGGTTCGATATCTGATCTGGCAGTGTAACTTTGCCGAGCACTTCTCCAAAACGTCGTATGTTTGGTGCTTATAATAAATGGACTGTGTGACTGAACGATTTTGTTTGTTTTTTTCGACTTGTGAAACAACGGCTCTATTGGTTGATTGTCGTAAACGACACAATATATGCGTACATTAGGACATAGTTTTCTAACAACTTCCTGCAAAAAATGTTTCCAAAAAATGTCTCTAAAAGGCAAAAACATTTTCAATCGCCCTTCGCGTCCCTCGGGTTTTCAACTTCAGATTGAAGCTTAACACATATAAGTAGAACAAACATGAAAGCATTCGAAGCTCGAAAGTTCCTTAAAAAAACATAAATAAAACTCATTAAGATTCAATCTCTTTGATTAAACAGCATTTTCCCTTATTCTTGGGAGGTCTTATTAGGTCTTCTAAACGAGGAAACGAGTTGCTCTCTAGAAAGGTAAAAGTAGTAGTAGTGTTGCCTGCCTTTATAAGGTTCTTCAGAACTATACCATAGTGCACATGGGAGGAGAGGATAGGTGGGGAGAGGAGGATGAATAAAATGTAGATAAAATTCCTGCAGCAATTATTTTCAATAATTTATACGACGGTTACCGGTATATCACTATATCGGTAGTGGCTTTTATTATTTATGTCAGCGAATAAAACAAGTAACAGAGGCACTCCCAAACTCCTTTGACTAATGAATATAAACCGCAATACATGGATATGCACTTGTAGACAATCATGTACACAGACAGTTTATAATGCACACCTTGTTTATTTAATTTTTATTTTGAATTTTTATTTTTCTTTTACTTTTTTATTATCTTTACTTTGTTATTGTTTTCTTTTATGACTTTATGCTCGTCTGGAATTTTTTATTTATGTAGAAAATCGTTTATGCTTTGGATAGCATTAGGGCTGGCTGTCGCGATCTCAAGCTTTCATTGACCTATAACGGAAGAAATCGGAAAACAATTCACACACTTCACACACACACACGTACCCACCTTTGCTTAAATCAAACGTTTTATCTTAATCTAATATTAAGCGAATCTGCTACGATTTGTGAAACTTTTTCAATTTTTTTCTCTTTTTTGGCGAACATTAATTGGACTTTATGGTGTACAGCTAGCTAGCTAGCTAGTAAGTAATAAATGACTTTTCCAAAGGTTAAAGTTGCGTGTTAAAGCAACCGAGTTTAATGAAATTAATACGAATCGTTTAAAATGAAAAATAAAATCATTAATTACAGATAAAGACCAAGCGGGCCAAGCGAATGAAGGAGAGAGAGAGAATATGGCAGAGACTGAAAGATACTTAAAGTATCAGTCAGTAATGTTTTTTTTTTTTCTTTTTTTTTTTTTTTTTGTTCTCCATTTTTTCTCTGCACAGATAAAAATATACATGTAAGCACGTGCATAAATAAGTATAAGCTTAAATAAGAAAAATGTGATACGCGCACGTATACTTACTCGTATTAACCGCTGAACCTCCATTATTTCCACCTCCAACTCGAACGTCGCCACTACTACCGCCACTTACAGTACCACCCATTCCCGTAACGCCATTCACACTTTGAATACCGTTAACTTTATTATTACCAATAGCGGTTGCGGGATTATTTGAATTTGTGTTGATATCGGCTTGTGACGTTGTCATATTGTTTTATTTTTATTTTTTTACAGCTGCTGCTGCTGCTGGTGTCGCTGCCACTACCGCTACTGCAACCAAAGTCGTCTCTCGTAGTGCTATTGTTTTTTTTCCCTGTTGTTTTTTGTTGTTTTTTGTTGTTTTTCGCTTCGCTTATATATATCAAGCAAGTTGTGTTGTGCGTTTTATCGTCTCTGCAAATCTAACAGAATTTCATGCTCAAGTTAACAAAAAAACTAGTTTTGTAACGTTATAAATTTTTTGGTGACGTCGTAACGTAGATGGAATGCGTTTTTTATGTTAACATCTATCCGTATGTCTTTTTGTTTGTACTAACTCTACTAACTGGCTGGCTTGCTCTTTCTGTATGCTTTAAAGCGTATGCAAGTCTTTTGTCGGATTATTTAGATCTGTTTTACATACATATACATTTATTTTTATTTTTATTTGTTTCTTTTTTTTTTTTTTTTATTAGTTTTTGTTTATTTATTTATTTATTTATATATATATTTTTTTTTATATAATTTTGTTAAGACTTTTTAAGTTACAAAAGTATGCAATTACATTATGAAAATAATGAAAAACTCTTTTATAAATTTAAGATTAAAAATATGCAAAAGTATACTTTTTAAGTATAATATCGTAGAAGGTTATGTTTGTAGGTTTCGTATAAGCAGAGCAATACTCCCTTTTAAGCCTTATGTAATGTAAGAATATGTTACGCATGGTAATAACATGTATTTATGGCTTACATATATCTGAGCATAAGAACGAACGCTTAACCCTCTACTTTTCTTACTCTTGCATTGGTCGCCATTGGAGACTCGAGACTAAATTGTCGACCATTATAAGCATATGTTTAGTTCAAGTTTATTTCTTGTCTTTTTCTTTTTCTTTGCCTTTTTTTTTTTTTTTTTAAATAGCCTTGACAACCAGTCTATAAACGAAAACTTCCAACAAAAGTTCATTCGTTTTTGTTTATTTGTTCTTTTTTAATCGCCTTAGTGTACCCGGCATCGAATGATAAAAGTATGCTGATTTTGTCATTGCCTTTGGAACGTTTAATTTATACCGTTGACCGGTATGAGATTGGATCAAATCAATTTTCGTATGGCTGTCCATCGGGGTCTGGTTTAAGAGGTGTGTTTTGATTGGCTTGGAATTCTCGTCGTGCTGTTTATCCGTCCGTCTCTCCGTTAGCTGCTAAAGTTCTCCAAACCACAAAGAGTCAAATATTATAGAAAACTAAAATATGTCAGAGATATTGCAAAAACAATTTTTTTTTTTTTTGGACAATCAACCTGCCACCTGTTCATGGGATTTTGGGACGAATCGCGACTATTAAGTCTAGCTTCGCGTGATCAAATCTACAGTGCGACAGAGTTTACTTGGGTCGTAACTGTAGTGAGAGCTTAAAGTCATAAGACTTATTAATGAAGCACGCAATACCTAGGCTGCCGCCACTGCCTATCTATGTCATTCTCTTTCGTCATTCCACAAATAGGGGACATCGTCTGAGTAGTCGATCTTGTTAAAAAAAAAAAAAAAAATTAAAATAATTTTTTTAAAGGAAATGCGAAAATTACCAGCAACAGTTTGCAGCTGCCTCGCTATTGAAAATTCTGCTGTTTTAAGTTTTCTTAAGCGGTTACAAGCCAATTCAACATTTATAATTATAGTGCTAATGGTAAAATATAAAATAAATATCTTTGTATCGTTTAAAAGTATTCCTTAAGTATTCAAGGATTGTGTTCTAAAAGGTTTATGTCGGTTCGAATTCTTTATGTAGCTCAAAAACATTGTCTCTCGCGTCATAACTTAAAACGGCCTCTGCTTAAAACTTGAATCCTGTTGCTCCTGAAGCTGCTACTGAATGCTTTCAATTCTCAAAATTCCAGCCATTGCTTTATAATAACATTTTCTATTCTCTTTCTTTTTTAATCGCTATCCTATAAGTAACCAGCGTAGTCAAAAAATATTGAACGCTTCACTAGACGTCCGCTTAAGCCGATTAAGATATGTCTCAGCAGAAATGCTTAAGAAGAGCAATAAAAAAAAAAGAAAAGAAAAATGGTTTTCAATGACCTGCGATTTTCATTATTTATTATATAAGTCCTAAGTGCTTATCATTATTTGATCTAAAAAAGAAAGGAAGCAAATTGGAGAATAATCCCCGACAATTCTTCGATTTTAACGTACTCTCCCCATCAAGTGTCTATAGGTAAATGATGCATTCACTATCGAAGAACAGATATTAACTACCTTAGTGACCTCTTCCCAACTACGACTGTTCTATGTGGGTCGAAAGCAGTTTTAGATAACTTGTGCTTAGTGAACAAAAAATCAATTTCTTCAGCCAGGAATGTTTTCTTTAAAAGAAAGCGTACCTGAATAAGTGTATTATAAGCCCAGATAAATATGAGTGAAAGTGAAAAATACAACTATCTTATCTTAAACGAATTATGTATCGATTAACTTTAATCGCTTTGTATTCCTAATTTTTATGCCTCACACATACCCTATGGTGCAGTGGTGTCGTTAGGCTTGTGCCGAACGACTTGCGATAGATCAACTTTTTGTCATGCCGAACGTGGTTCTAAATCGGTCTAAGCTTGTTTGTCCGCCCAGCCGTCTTGTTTCCTTGTGTTCAGTCTACAACCTGCAATTTTCAGATATTTCGATGAAATCTGGTACAATGACGTGTTTCGGAACAAGGACGAGTGCTGAAAATGGCTCGAACCGCACTACTTTTTCCAATAACTGTAAGGCGGTGTAGAGTATTTAACGACGAGCCGTGACAGACTATAGTATCTCTACATGTCTTTTTATTTTTACCCATCACCAACTCCTCAATTGATTTCCAGGAAAGGTATAGAAAATGATTTCATTAAAAAATTTAACCTCCGACGTCCATACATAATTCGCATAAAAGTGGCAAGGGGTAAATAGAATTCCAACATTAGCTACAGTGAAATTTTGCTTATTTTGATTTTCAAACTAAAAAAAGTCGTATGATTGGCAGTAATGAAGCCAACCAAGTTAGAAATTCAACTTCTGTATAAGTTCTTTGGCGTCTTCTGTGGCATTCTTTTCGCTGACTCTATGTAGAAATCTACAAAAACACTCCTACGGGTTGTGTTCGAAAGTATACACGAAAGGCTTGGTCTGTTCCGAGATTCTTTTATTAGCATTAGAATTAGAAAGCTGACAATTCGCCCGAGTGGGCGACGGCGAGGAATCTCGACTAGCAACTCAACGGTCGTGGGTTCGACTCTCAAGTGCGATAGAGTTTTTATAGAAACCCGATAGCCTTAGATGCTAGTGCTTTAAGAGTTTAGCCTTAGAATTTATTTCTCTGACGTAATTAATAATAATAAAAATAAGAGAAAGTTAACAATTGACGCCAATGGTTTCAGATTAACTTTGAGAGTGGGCGTAATCTGCTCAAAGACAAGTCCAGAATCGCTAACAAATCGAAAAATAATTATTTTCTATATAAATTTTACTAACTTGATGCCCATAATTTTACTGATAAATCAGCGACTTTACACCTACTTGAGATCGAAGACTAGGGTCTATCGAAATTTCTTCTTTCTTTTAGTTCTTTTACCTTTCAATGTACGCGCATTGCTTGGAGATAACAAAAACAAATGTTCTTGTCGATGTGCTTTTAGTTTGGCTACCCAGAAGAATACAATTTCTTTCTATTATTTTTATCTGAATTTTGAAATCACATTTCTTTGTTTCAAAACAGACGCACTTAATGGTATTATGTTGTTTTTGTTTTTGAATTTGTATTTTGAAATATATCTGGGATGAACGTAATAAGATTATTGTTATTGTATTGTCTGACAAGTTAACTCACCCTCTAATCCGGAAAATCTAATCAATGAGTTATATGAGTTATTATGCAATCACGCTGAGACTTTTATGTATTATTTAAAGCCAAGTCTTTTTAAGCTCTCCGCTTAAGTGAAAAGTAATCAAAGCAAGCGTATCTTAATTTTTAATCGCTTTCGGTTGCTTCGTACATACATCGTTGAAGACTACTAAACTAAAACAAGCTTTACGCGTTGCGTTAAGTGTTAGCTCTGAAGGAGATTTTAATAATAGCACTTTAGAGTAATATGTCAAATAGATGAGGAGTCTGCAAGCAGCATGTTGTCAAAATGCGCGTTTACTGGCCTCCATTGCATATGTATGCCAACGAAAGGAAGAGAGAGAGAGAGAAAGAAAGCTATTTAAATATTTATCTTAGCAAAATTGCTTGCTTTGCATCGAACATCTTGAAAAGTTCATATTAAAGTTGAGTGTGTAGTAGTTCTCTAGATTGGCCAAACGACACGCCTGTAATTGATCAAATATTTTGTGTTTTTTTTTGTTATGTGCTACTCGCATAATATATACATCTAGGATGCGAATCAAATAATCGCTCTAAGGCATAGATAATATTTTTATTGACTATATGATGCATATAAGAAGTCATGCGTTCTCATAAAAGGTGCACATGCTATACTGACTCAACAGCAGTTCGTTGTGTTTTTCTTTTCTTTTTTCTATTGATTTTTCACATTCCAATGATTAACAGCCTGCACTAGTGTAACACTGCGTTCGAAAGGCTTGCCGAGTAAAGTGGTGCAAAGTGGTTCCTTCTTCTTTCTTAATTGCTAGCAAGACGCCAAAATGGAAATGTTAATGTTCCATATAAGTTTTTATATGAAACGTCTTTGCTTTATTGTATTTTTACGTGATAACTTTAGATATGAGCTGCACCGTTATGCCCTTTAGGCACAAATTTCGTGTAATAAACGCAGCGTCATGAATTTCCTGAAGCTATTACTTATCTAAACGCAAGACCGTAATAGCATTCAAAACACAATAGACGCATATGCATAAAGAGATCACCATCATTATTATTGTTATTGTTATTGTTATTATTAAGAGTATTGTAGATAAAAAGAAAACAATGGACGTAATACAAAACAATAATAGGAGCCCGCACGATATGTTCACTAAAATTATCAGAATTCGTTAACTAATATTTTGTAATAATAACAAAAAAAAAAAAATGAAATAAAAACGTAAGAAAATGATGGGTTGATAGTTAAGAGCTTTTCTACATTAAATTTTTACTCCATTCGTTTTCGATCAATGTTTGCTGTAAGCTAGGATTTTTTTCCGTTTTTCTTTTTTTGCTTTCGAGACTACTTCCGCCCCAAGAAAGCTATTAAATGCCAATTTCAAGTTTTAACATTCTTTCAAATTTCAACAATACGCGAATGAGCGGACTGACGGACGGACGGACGGACGGAAAAACAGCTAAAAAGCTGATCCAAATACCTTGTCATCACCTTGGAGTCCTACGTTCACAAAAAATAGACATCTTACTGAGGGACTGAGTAGATAGCTC